TATGTATTTAGCCTGTGGTTCAACCATTACTTTCCCACAGAGGAAAACGCAAGCAGACCTTTTAAAGCCACTACTAAGGAGATTTCTATTTCGAGAATATGCAATAACTCATATTGAGACAAGATTTTAATCTCGGCAAAGCTCTGGATAATCTGCTGGCACCTGTGTTTGCTCCTCTTCCACCCCATTGCATCCTTAAACACAGGGCCAAAGGCCGGCTCCACAGCTTGGCTCATGACAGCAGGTCCTGCCTCAGCAGGAGCAAGGCAAAGATTCTTCAGGATTTGCTCCCAAAAATGAGGAAAAGACATCAATGCCAGGATTTTTTTAATATATATACATATTCATTCTACTGGAAACTCTTTTTCCAAGTACTGTTCTGGCAGACATTATGTCTTGGCATTTGTGTTGTCCTATGCAGACTCACTTGAGGAAATGGTGGCCTTGGTTATGCATAGGGAGTGCTGTATACCTGTGTCATGTATGGACAGCTCGGCCCTTGTGAAACAGATAGAAAGGGATTATCTGGGATGGTTTTTGAAAGACGGGATGCTCTGTGGGTGCTCCAGAGAGAGACTTCCAGTGGTTCATGATGTAAACACGGGGGAGCATTTTCAGTAATATGGAGATTGATTCTGTGATTGATGGCATCATTCATACTGTGGGGTCTTGTTTCCATTGAGGCCTCTGGATCTGACTGAAATATGAACAAGAATTAACTAGTGTTGTGCTTGAAAGAGTCCAGTCTCTGCAACTTCACAGAAGGAGAAAGAAAAAGAAATGGAAGAGTTTTTTTTTTTTTGGTTACATTTTGGGTAAACAGAGCAAGTGGTGCTGTAAAAGGAATTTACGTAGATGAGCATAGGAAGGAAAGGGAAAAAAAGTCTTCATCAGACAGATCTTAAATAGGTTTCATAACCTTAAGCACTGAGCAGGATTCACATGCAAGGGTTAAAATGACACCAGGTTTTATCCAATTCTTCGATTCTGTGATTCATGCCTCACACTTTAAAGCCTACACCCTGTGAAGAATAGTGCATTATTAAGGGAAGGAAAGAGGCTTGCCAGGGACAGAAGGTAATTTCCCGTAGCAGGTGCATACGGCAGGTGGTACACAGTGTACCTGCGACGAAAAGGTAGATTTAGTCTAAGATTTTATTTAATATGGAAAACTTATTGCAGCCTGAGCCACTACTGGGGACGTGCCAAAAATCGTGTCTGCAGCATGATTTATTACGTGAAAATACCACCGAACTAATCAGTGGAGTTACTAATTAATACAAATCTGCATTTTTGCATAAGCAATTAGTGCAAAGAGAGTGCGATGAAAGAGGAAGTTTGACTCATTTAATCTCGGTGTCTATTCAAGCGGAGAGACCCACCAGGGCAAGGCACTAGGAGCTACATTTGGTGGGTGCTTTTTTTTCCCCCTCTTTTGATTAGTTAAAGAACTGAAAGGTCAAATTATCAATATTTAATTCAGATGGAAATGCATTTGTTAAAGAGGAAAGAAAACACTTTATTTAAACAAGGTGGGACTCTGGGGGTAAATGCCTGGATCAAAAATAATTAGATTTTCCAGTTACAGCAGCATCTAAATCCCGTCTGATAAGAATCCTTTTTCCTAATAACAGAGGTGGTTCGGCACCAATAGCAGAGGCTGCTGATGTTATTTAAACTCCAGACGATGCAGTAGCTCACCCACCAATACAATTTAGACTTTTGTTTTAATGGTGCGTACTTCTGTGATTTGATTTTTTAATCAATCTGAACGATATTTTAAATCTATTGTGATTTCATAATTGTGTGTACTTGACTAAAAGAGTCATTTAGAGAGCTGATAATTAAACCTCGGTGGCGATGCATTTTCCATTAACTAAATAGAAGTTTACATTTATAGAATTAAAACAAGGGAGCACCGTTTATCTAACGGGGGCGAAACGCAATAAAATTAATACTCTGAGTCCTACAGAGGGAGGAAAAAAAGCCGGAGCAAAAGAGCTCACCTTAAAGCCGAGCGGTATCCGAACCGGACCGGACCCGACGGGCGGGACCATCCGATGGAGCCCGCGGGGCTCTCGCGGTTTTGGGGCTTTGTCCCGGGAGGGGGGAGCTGCGTTTGCCCCCGGCCAAGCGCAAGGGTCCCCGGCGCGGCCGTAAATCACTCAGTAAGTGGCGAGCGCGGCTCCTCTCCCCGCTCGCCCGCGGCCGTCGGGGGCAGCCCCGTCCCTCGCCCCGCTCTCGCAGGTGCGATGCGAATCAATTATCTTAATTAAGGCAACGCCGCAAACCCGGGAGATTTCCTCGCCAGCGGATCTCGCGCTCCGGACAGGGGCTTCCCCGGCGGCCGCCCTCCTCCTGCTCTTCCTCCTCCTCCTCATCATCATCATCTTCCCCCACCTCCGGACTCCGGTCGCCCTCGGCACCCGCCGCTTACCGTCCCGCAGCAACCGCG